CAGAAATATAGTTCTATTTCCTTTTTTCAGCCCACATTTTCACTGTGCCATGCCCCAAGTCTCCTGCTTTCCAGCTTACACAATCATCAGTTGTTCCTCTTAAGGAGTTAGACTTCTTATACAGGTCAGTTAAGGGTATAGAGTGAGCTGGGTGTGGCAGCGCACACCTGTAATCCTAGCACTCAGGAGGCAGAGGCTGGAGGATCTCTGAGTTCTAGGTCAGCCTGGTCTACAAAGGATGTTCCAAGACAACCAAGTCTATGATATAGAAAAGCCCTGTTGTGGGTATGGGAGGTGGGTGGAGGAGTGCTTGCCCAATAGGGATAAATCAGAATTTGGTGCCTAGTGCACGCATAACCCTCAGAAATGAGGGGGACTCTGGTGGTTGGGGCACAGTGAAGAAAGGAATGAAGAAATTAATTCTTGAAATAGAAAAACTGTACAATTAGATTTCTGAAAAAACATCAACTCCAAGTTCAGATAGTGACCCTCCCTCAAAGGAATAACATGTAATATGAGAGAAGAGGACACCTGATACCCTCTGGGGCTTCCGTAAGTGGATACAGATGCACACTCACCATTTTTATAAAGTAAAAATAATAATAACAGTAATAATAATAACTAGAAGGAGAAGGAGAAAAGGAAAAGGGCAGGAGGAAGAGGAGGAGGAGGAAGAGGAAGCAGCAGCAGCCACCACCAGGCATAAAGGCACTCACCTTTAATCTCAGCACGTAGGAGGCAGAGGCAGGTAGATCTGTGTAATGCCAGTAGGACTACACAGTGAGACTTCTCAAAAAAAATAGATGAGCAGGACCTGAAGAGATGGCCCAGTGATTAAGAGCTCTGCTTGCTCTTGTTCCCAGCATCTCCATGGTGGCTCATGACTGTCTGTCACTCGACTTGCAGATGATCCAATGCTCTCTTCTGTGGGTACCAGGCATGTATATAATACACATAGATTCAAGCAAAGCACATAAAACAAAATCTCTGAAAATAAATCAGAAAAAAGAGGGAGAGGGGGCGAGGTAGGTCCAGTCCCAGTGTTCCTGAGGGGATGGGTGCCTTGGCACCTTTCTTGTGTCTGTGTCAGTGAAGGTGCAGATGACTACATAGAGAGACATAAAGCATGCCTCATGACAGAATTGCTCTCTGTAATTGTGCCAAGGCTTTCCTTGTTTTATGAACAGTGAAATTAAGAACCTTCAAAGATGGAGGCCTGTTTTCTTACTTTTTACTGCCCTAAAGCTTGTAAGTCTGTAAAGTGTTATTTTTTTTCTTTTCCTTCCTCTCTTATTCTCCAGCTGTCTCAACTCAGAACCTCGTAGGAAGAGCATTACACTTCAGCAAATGTGTTTCCTGTGACATTTCAATAAGCTTCATTTTGTCTTTCCATGTTAGAAGTACTCCACTTTCCCTCCCTGTTGCCCGCCCTTCAACTCATTTAGTACTGTTAGGTTTGCAGAATATGACAGAGAAAGAAGCCATATTTATAAACATGTGATCCACCCAGCTGTTTCAAGAATTGAAATAGCATCCATTTACTTGTGTGTCTGTTCTCTCTGTGAAGCTGTGCTTGCCTCCTTTATGAACGTAGCATCTGTCTGACTGAGGCTTACCTTTTCTAGAAACAAGTGGACATTGTTGGGTTTGGGTTTGGTTGGTTGGTTGGTTGTTGGTTGATTTTAACAGATTCTCCCTGTGTAGCCTTGGCTGTCCTAGAACTCAGATCTGCCTCCTCTACCTCTTCTAGGACTAAAGGTATATGCCACCATGCCAAACACTATTCTTGTTTAAACTAAGCAAAGAAGCATATCACTAAGGGGAGACATCCAACTGAATTCACTTTGGTAATAGAGAAAATTTAGTTCAATTATTTTCTTAGAAGATAGTCCATTCCCTTAAGAAGCCAGGGTCTTGAAAAGGGATAGGAATCCTATCCTTCCTTCCCTTTGAATATCTGTCCCCTTGCAGACTTACATGTCATTCATCACAGATAAAGAGAGAGTAAACGGGTAGTCTAAGCAAGTAGTATGAAAAGAATAAATCTATTAGATAGCTAGCTCATCCTAGAATCAGAAGGATCTGGCTTCTCTTAGTCTTTCAATAAAATATTTACCCTTGTTGGACTTGAGTTTTTTATTTCTTTTTTTTTTTTTTAATTTTAGGCATGGTCTCCTCTCGTGGAGAGTGACCTTGATCGTTTTCATATTATATTTTTATATATTGTGTGTATCCATGCGCCACAACACACTTATAGAAGTCAGAGGACAATTTGAAGGAATTGGTTTTTCTCTGTCCACCATGTGGGTCCCAGGGATTGAACTCAGATTATTAGTCTTGGCAGCAAGTGCCTTTACTCACTTAACCATCTCATCAGCCTGAAGTACTTCTACTTTTTTTGGATGGTGGAACGACAGAGTCTCTTTACATAGCCCTGGAACTCAGAGGCTCTGAATTCTGTCTCTGCCTTTCAAGTGCTGAGATTTAAAAGCATACACTATCACATCCAACTTTCTCTTCCCCTTCTTCTTCATCTTCCTCTTCTTCCTCCTCTTCCTTCTCCTCCCCCTCCTCTTCCTCTTCTGCTTCTTCATTACATTTTGATTTATTTTGATCTTCAGCACAGGTTTAGTGGCACACGCCTGTAATTTCTGCACTTGGAGGTAGAGGCAGGAGGATAAATTCAAGGTTACCCTTCACCAACTTGATTATATAATGAGCAGGTTTGAGTTTTACAACCCTGACTCAAAAACAAAATTAAAAAAAAAAAACTGTTAACTAAGAAGCCAAAAAAGGTTAATAAATATAACACAAAAGTAAATAATTCCTACATATCATTAATTGCTATCAGTAAATAAACTGATGGAAATATCTGATTATGTTACAAAAACTTTACTCCAAGGTATTAAAAGTTACAAGTAAAGAAAATAGTAGGGGCTTGACTGTTAAGAGTACTTACTGCTCATCCTCTGACCTCTGAATGCACACTCTAGCACATATAAAATAAAAACAGTTTTTTAAATGAAGTATCCTCTTGTCATTGTTCATTAGCTTCACATTTCCTTCTTAGAAACATTCAAGGATATGCCTGTGAGCTGTCTCAGTGGGTAAGGGTGCCTGCCACTAAGCCTAATGGCCTGAGTTTGGTTCCTGGAACCAACATGATAATGTGAGAGAACTTGTTGCTACAGATTGTCCTCTGACCTCTTCATTCACGCCATGTGCCCCCCATCCCTCCAAATAAATATATAATGAAAAATATATACTCTTCCTTAAGTAGAACTACTACGCCACACTGTTCCATATACATTACTGTCTTTCCAGCACATGGACTCTGTGTGTGTGTGTGCGTGTGTGTGTGTGTGTGTGTGTGTGCGCGCGCACCTGTCTGTCTTTCTCTCTTTCTCTCTCCAAGGCTGTGCATCTGCTGGAGAAGCACTATACCACCAAGCGACATCCCTAGCACTCATATTCCCTGCCCTGCTCCCATTTTTGTTTTTCAAGATAGTTTCTCTGTGGAGCCCTAGAGCTCACTTTGCAGACCAGCTTACCTTGAACTCCCTGATCATCCTGCCTCCACCCCTCAAATGTCAGAATTACAGATGTGCACTACCATGCCTGGATTTTAGCATTTGGGATTTTTTATACTGCTTTTTGAATTTAGGAATATTGTGCCACATCTTCAAAAACCTTGTTTCCCTGTTAGGGGATGTAATGAGGAACAAGGTATCATATATCCTAGGCTGGCCTTGAACTAGCTATATAACTGAGGATAACATGAACTTACATTGCTTCTAATTCCACCCTCCAAGTGTTTTGCTTACAGGTTTCTGCTACAATACCCAGTTTATCTAGGGATAGAATCAGGATTTTATGTGTCACTCTGCCAAGTGAGCCACATTCCCAGCCACCAGTCCCTGTCCCTGTCCCCCTTTTGATAAGTTATTGTGGCATCATTTAAGAGTGAGACTGGAGAAAAAGCATGGTGGTTAAGAGAATATACTGCTCTTTTAGAGGGCCCAAGTTCAGTTCCCAACCCCAACATCAGGTGAGTCACAAACACCTCCAGCTCTAGGGAGGTCCAACACCTCTGGCTTCATGAGGCATCTGCAGTCACATGAACACATACCCACTCGTAGACATGTAACTAAAAATGATAAAAAAAAAAAATAGTCCTTTTTTTTTAAGTAAAAATATATCAAGCTGGGCAGTGGTGGCACACGCCTTTAATCCCAGCACTTGGGAGGCAGAGGCAGGTGGATTTCTGAGTTTGAGGACAGCCTGGTCTACAGAATGAGTTTCAAGATAGCCAGGGCTACACAGAGAAACCCTGTCTCGAAAAACAAAAACAAAATATATATTCAAACAACCTAAGCTGCACAACAGCAACAAAGAATGTATGAACTGTCGTTAAGTCGTACACTGAAGTATTTTAACTCAATTAAAATGAATGCATTGAGCCAGGCATGGTGGCACACACATATAAGCTGAGCAGGTAGGGGCAGAAGAGCTCAAAGCTATCCTTGACTAGATAGTTTGAGGCTAGCCTGAGCTATATAGCTAGACACTGTCTTTACAAAAACTAGGGAGGGCTGAGGATATAGCTCAGTTGAGTCTTGTCTAGCATACACAAAGCCCTGAGTTCAGACCCAAGGACTGCATAAATCTTGGTGTGTTGGCCTTCCTCTCATCCTAATACTCATCCTAATACTCGGTATTAGGTCACCCTCAGCTGTATAACAAACTCAAGGACAGCCTGGGATCCATGAGGCCCTGTTTCAGAAAAATAAAAAAAAAAAAATGTTTTGATTGGGCTATGAAGTCTGAACTATTGCCTATCTGTAGGGATCCAAGAGTACTATAGGCAATTGCCATGGAACTGGTACCAGAGCATTATTAAACTTCCACAGGAGGAATCAGAGTGCTTCTCAGATAAAGAATATTCTTTGCAATGGCCAGAAAGTTTGCCTCACCCATAACTTCTTTCTTCTTGATTTCAGGGATGTTGGTGGTAAATGTGACATGGAGAAACAAAACATATGTAGGTACACTTCTTGACTGCACAAGGCATGATTGGGCACCGCCAAGGTGAGCATGTACAGATATCTAGTTTATATCAGTCTGAACCCCCACATAATCAATGAACTGTTATGCCCTTAGTTTACTACAGTTGGCCTCAGAGTGAAGCCTCCTGAGTGCTTTTATCACTAGCTTGAGCTACCACCCTGGGGTTATATCCATTTTCCTTCCTTCTTTCCTTTCTTCCTTTTTTCCTTCCTTCCTTCCTTCCCTCCCTTCTCCCCTCCCTCCCTTCCTCCCTTCTTCTTTGGGACAAGGGTTCACTCACTCTGTAGCCCAGGCTGTCTTGGAACTCACTGTATAAGACAGGCTGCCTCAAACCCAAAGTGATCATCTTACCTTAGCTGGTAAGTACTGGGATTTCAGGTGTTTGTATGAGTCACTGGGCCTGGCCTTACTTTCAAGTTGCAGTTTGATCTGTAAGTTAACATATCACACAGCCATAGTTCTATGTACCTGTAATCCCAGGTCTGGTGGATACAGAAGGGTCAGAAGTTCAAACCCACCTTCAGCAACATAAGGAGTTGAGGCTAACCCTGAGTACATACCTTGTCTCAAATGGGTGATAATACTAACATTTTGAGTCTGAGATATCGCATGAGGCTTATGGATTCATTGTCTAACAGCACCACAAAAATAAAAATATAATAAAAGGCACTAATATTTCAATGTCTTCTTATACCTTATTCCTCATGTTGGTACCCAGTGTGCTAGGGCTTGAGAAGCCTAAAATATGGTAGTGTGATCCTGAACTAGTATGAAAATGACATCCTAGGAGGTTACCTCTCAATACAGTTCCCATGCAGGTTCCTAGGAAACCACAGTTCTTGAAACAGAAGCTGGGCAGAAGAGCTGCTCCAAGTTAGAGGCCCGTTCTTGCTATGGAATGAGCTCCTTACCAGCCTGGGCTTCAAAAACAGAAAGCTGGGTGTAGTTCATACTGGTAGGCCCTGCCTCACATAAAAAAAAGATGTTTTCCCCTTAATAATATCCTGTCCTATTATTGTCCTTTTCCAAGGTTCTGTGACTCTCCCACCAGTGACTTGGAAATGCGTAACGGTAGAGGAAGAGGCAAGCGCATGCGTCCTAACAGTAACACGCCTGTCAGTGAGACAGCCACAGCTTCTGACAGCAAAGGAACCAGCAGCAGCAGCAAGACCCGAGCAGGAGCCAATAGCAAAGGCCGTCGGGGTAGCCAGAACTCCTCAGAGCACCGCCCTCCTGCCAGCAGTGCCTCTGAGGACGTCAAAGCCAGCCCTTCCTCAGCCAATAAGCGGAAAAGCAAACCTCTTTCAGACATGGAGCTGAATTCTAGCTCAGAGGACTCCAAAGGGAGCAAGCGTGTCCGTACAAATTCCATGGGCTCAGCCACGGGGCCCCTCCTTGGGACCAAGGTAGAACCAACTATTGTGGACAGAAATTGTCCCTCCCCAGTCCTGATTGACTGTCCCCACCCAAACTGCAACAAAAAGTACAAGCACATTAATGGACTTAAGTACCACCAAGCTCACGCCCACACAGACGATGACAGCAAACCAGAAGCTGATGGAGACAGTGAATATGGAGAAGAGCCTACCCTCCATGCAGACCTCAGCAGCTGCAATGGTGCATCTGTCTCACAGAAAGGATCCTTGTCCCCTGCCCGCTCAGCTACCCCCAAAGTTCGGCTTGTTGAGCCTCACAGCCCTTCTCCTTCAAGCAAATTCAGCACAAAAGGCCTCTGTAAGAAAAAACTGAGTGGGGAGGGAGACACAGACCCTGGAGCTTTATCCAATGATGGCTCTGATGATGGACCCTTGGTAATGGATGAAACAAGCAACGATGCCTTTGACTCTTTGGAAAGGAAGTGTATGGAAAAAGAAAAATGTAAAAAGCCCTCCAGTTTGAAATCTGAAAAGATTCCATCCAAGAGCTTAAAATCAGCCCGCCCCATTGCCCCTGCCATCCCCCCACAACAGATCTACACTTTCCAGACAGCCACCTTCACAGCAGCAAGCCCAGGGTCCTCCTCAGGCTTGACCACCACTGTGGTCCAAGCAATGCCCAACAGTCCCCAACTCAAGCCCATTCAGCCCAAGCCCACTGTCATGGGAGAACCTTTCACAGTCAACCCTGCCCTGACCCCTGCCAAGGACAAGAAAAAGAAAGACAAAAAAAAGAAGGACTCATCAAAGGAAGTTGAAAGTCCTCTGACCCCTGGGAAGGTATGCCGAGCAGAAGAAGGTAAGAGCCCGTTCAGAGAATCAACAGGAGATGGAATAAAAATGGAGGGCCTTCTGAATGGCTCCTCAGAGTCCCATCAAAGCCGGTTAGCTAGTATCAAGGCTGAAGCTGATAAGATTTACAGTTTCACTGACAATGCCCCCAGCCCTTCAATTGGAGGCAGCAGCCGCCTAGATAGTACTACCCCAACCCAACCCTTAACTCCCCTACATGTAGTGACCCAGAATGGAGCTGAAGCCAGCTCTGTCAAAACCAATAGCCCTGCCTACTCTGACATCTCTGATGCTGGGGAGGATGGGGAGGGCAAGGTGGACAGCGCCAAGTCGAAGGACCCTGAGCTGCTGGTGAAAGAAGGGGCTAAGAAAACACTTTTCCCCCCTCAGCCACAGAGCAAAGACTCACCGTATTATCAAGGCTTTGAAAGTTACTACTCTCCAGGTTATGCACAGTCCAGCCCAGGGGCTCTCACCTCAAGCAGCCAGGCAGGAATGGAGGGCCAGGCTATAAAGACAAAAAAGGATGAGGAGCCTGAGAGCATAGAAGGGAAAGTAAAAAATGATGTCTGTGAGGAGAAGAAGCCGGAGCTGAGCAGTTCCAGTCAGCAGCCCTCTGTCATCCAGCAGCGGCCCAGCATGTACATGCAATCCCTGTACTACAACCAGTATGCCTATGTGCCTCCATATGGCTACAGCGACCAGAGCTACCACACACACCTCCTGAGCACCAACACCGCTTATCGGCAGCAGTATGAAGAACAGCAGAAGCGTCAGAGCTTGGAGCAGCAGCAGCGGGGACTGGACAAGAAGACAGAGATGGGCCTGAAAGAGCGGGAGGCATCACTCAAGGAAGAGTGGAAGCAAAAGCCGTCAATTCCACCAATTCTCACCAAGGCCCCCAGCCTGACAGACCTGGTGAAGTCAGGGCCAGGCAAGGCCAAGGAGCCAGGGACTGACCCTGCCAAGTCTGTCATCATTCCCAAATTAGATGACTCATCAAAACTCCCCAGCCAGCCCCCTGAAGGCCTTAAAGGGAAGCTGGGTGAGGCCAGCCACCTAGGCAAGGAGGCGTCTGAGGCTAAGACAGGCACTGAGTGTGGCCGACAGGCAGAGGTGGATCCAATACTCTGGTACCGACAGGTAACTGTTGTATGTAAGGAAGTGGAGATGCTGTCTAATAAACTTTCTGGCCCCCACAGATCAGCACTGTCTTGTGTAGGGGTTCCATAGAATTGAGATTACCAGGAGAGTTGTATAATTTTAGCAAACCTGTACATTTTATGTTTTAAAAAGCACCGTTACCTCCTTAAAAGGTATTTTTCCCATAAATGGAGAAGAAGGACTAATAAGACAACTTATTTTGTCTACAGTTAGTTGACCCTTCATTAGCAAAGCAAGACAAGAACTTGGGCATTTTGACTCCTAGCCCAGTGTTCCACTGTCTGGTTTCTACAGAATGGAAGCATATACTCACCTAACAGGTTTCTTTAAAAAGGATTTTATGATGTCAGCTATGATGACATATGCCTGTAATCCTAGGACTTGGGAAGCTAAAAGCAGATTATCTTGAGTTTATAGCCACACTGAGCTACATAGCCTGGGCAAGACTCTGTTCTCTTAATAATAAAAAATAATATTTAAAGTTAAAACTAATGGGGCTGGAAAGATGGCTCAGTGGTTAAAAGTACTTTCTGTTCTTCCAGAAGACTGAAGTTTATTTCCTAATACCCACATCAGATGGCTCACAACCTCCTGTATCTCCAGCTCTAGGGGATCTGATTCTCTCTTCTGGTCTCTGCAGACACCCACACCTGTTGCAAACATTCACACAGTCTTCCCTTTCCTCCTGGGGGCAATGATAACTGCAAAGCAACATAAACATCTTGGCAGGAGGCAACTTATTGTATTCCCAGAGTCGCTGCCCTAGGAGTTTTGTGCGGAGAAGGGCCACTGATGGCTTCACCTTTTTTCCTCCCAGGATCTTGTTTCATTAGGTTTGAGAAGGTGTTTTGTTTTGTCATGATAGGGTCTCGCTATGTATTCCTGGATGGCTTAGACTCTGTAAAACAGGCTGCCCTTGAATTTAGAGTTCTATTTGCGTCTTCCTCCTCCGAGTGGAAATTAACAGTGTTTTTGTAAACAAAATCTGTACAAATCAGAATCCCAGTTTGCCTTGGGTGCTGTGATGGTCTGTTGCTGTTTCTACTCGGACCTTGGGTTTGAGAAAGGTCGTTTGTCAAACACCTTTAATCCCAGCACTTGGGAGGCAGAGGCAGGCAGATTTCTGAGTTCGAGGCCAGCCTGGTCTACAGAGTGAGTTCCAGGACAGCCAGAGCTATACAGAGAAACCAGTCTCAAAAGAGAGAGAGAGAGAGAGAGAGAGAGAGAGAGAGAGAGAGAGAGAGAGAGAGAGAGGGAGGGAGGGGGGGAGAGAGAGAGATCTTTTGTGTGTAATACTACTCGGCAGTCATTCTGTGGTTTTTGCAGGAGACAGAACCTCGGATGTGGACATATGTTTATCCTGCCAAATACTCAGACATCAAGTCAGAGGATGATCGGTGGAAAGAGGAACGGGACCGAAAATTAAAGGAAGACAGGAGCCGGAGTAAGGACTCTGTTCCCAAGGAAGACGGGAAGGAAAGCACAAGCAGTGACTGCAAGCTACCCCCATCTGAGGAACCCCGCCTCGGGAGCAAGGAGGCCCGCCCCAGCGTCCACGTGCCCGTGTCCTCCCCGCTCACCCAGCACCAGTCCTACATCCCCTACATGCATGGCTACTCCTACAGCCAGTCATACGACCCCAGCCACCCCAGCTACCGGGGAATGCCTGCAGTGATGATGCAGAACTACCCAGGTACAGTGCCTAGGGCTGCGCTACTCAGGGGAATGGGAGCTGAAGCAGTTTTTAAATCCAGAGCTTTTTGCTTTGTGGCTTTGGCTCTGAGGTTGAGGGAACCTGACTTGGATGACAGACTTTTTTTTTACATATAATGTGTCCATGATGTGAAGCTGCCACTCTAACCTTAAATGACCCTAATTACAGTCAGAAAAAAACACCTCTCCCTTGCTTTAGCTAAGGTTGCTTCCGTGTTCAGCTTTTCTTGATGATCAGTGGTAAAACTCACATACATGACAGCATCTTCTCTCCGCTAGAATTTCTTTAGACACACACTCTGATTTCTGCTGCATGCAAGGCACTGTGGGGAATACTAAAGAAAGAGAGGAGAGCAGTTCCCTCCATCGAGGGCTTCACAGCTTGATACAGCAGGAGCAATACATGTGACAAATAAGTTCAAACCAAAGCAATGCAGGCATTCAGCTTTGAGGCTGTGCTCAGCTGTGAGATCAGAAAGCTTGTCAGGGATGCAGAGAGCATTTTGAAGTCAGTTGGGGGATGTCTAGTAGGTTCAGCTTGAGAAAAATTAGTTCTTAAACTGCTGACAATGAGTTAGTTCTCAGTGGGTCAAGGTTTAAATGTTTTTTTAACTTGTTAGAAAAAAAAAATGTTCATATTCCACTCTACACACTAATTTCTGTTGCTGGAAGAGCTATGTGGGATCCAGAACTTCTGGTTTGGTTGGTTGGTTGGTTGGTTGGTTGGTTGGTTGGTTTGAGGGTTAAGAGAGGGCTAGTTATTTTTGTTTTCCTGAGACAGGATTTCACTTTGTAGCCCTGGCTAGTCTGGAACTTGCTGTGTAGAACAAGCTGGGCTCTTAACTTGTAGAGATACACCTGCCTCTCCTGAGTGCTGGGATTAAAAGTACGCACCCCCATGCCTGGCCACGATATGGCCGTCCACCACACACTCAGTGTTTGCCAATCCAGTCAAGGTAAATGCCGTTCCCCATGCTCTTCTCTAATGGCACTTGATGAAATATATAATAGGTTTTCATGAATTGTAGCCACTCCACTGAGCGGCAGGACACTCGAGCTGATGCCTCTGCCTGTGTTTGGGCATCTGTTATCTAACCTGCCCTGCCCTCCTCAGCTTCTGGTAATCCCTGTTTTCCATTTGGATCAGCCTGAGCATTCACTCCTGCAGCTTCCCAGCCTCCTAGAGCCAGTCTTGACATTCTGCTAGTGTTATTATGGGATAAATTCTAAATACAAGTAAGCTTTTCAAACAGATAAGGAGATCATCTCATCCTTGTGGTGTTCCTTACCATATATGTACAAATCAAAGTGCCATCTGTGAGGCGTTCTCTGGTCCATGCACTGTCTTGAATGATTTATGCATTTTTCCTGTTGTTCTGTTTTCATTGTTAAGACAGGGTCTTATTACATAGCCCTTGTTAGCCTATAATTAACCAGCTTTCCTCCTTTTTCTTGCCTCAGCACCCAAGTGCTGGAATTATAAACATATGCCACCACACCCAGCTTGTGTTTCTATTCATCTGTATGTGTTCATGTTGAGGTCAGAGGTCAGTGTCACTTGTCTTCTTCGATGATTTATTTTTTTTCAAACAGGGTCTCTCACTGAACCTGGAACTCTTGATTATTTTAGACTGACTTGCCAGTGGGCCCCAGGGGTTCTCCTGTCTGGTCTCAGTGGTCAACCTGCCTCTGCCTCTCCAGTACTGGAATTAAAGGTGTGCACTCTCACACCTGGCTTACCACTCCCCCCACCCTTTTTTTAATTATTATTAATAAAAACAAGGTTTCATTATGTAATCCTGGCTGGCCTGGAATAGATCAGACTAGATTCAATGTCACATAGGTCTACCTGCTTCTGGCCTAAGTGCTGGGATCAAACTTAGGTCATCAAGCCTGGCAACAAGAGCTTTTACCCACTGAGCCATCTCAACAGCCCTTTTTTTTTTTGTTTTAGGGGACAGGATCTAATGTAGTCTAGGCTGACATTAAGCTCAGAATACTGCCCCAACCACCACAGTGTTGGGATTACAGGTGTGCCATCATCCCTGCCTGATATCTTCATTTTGAAGATAAACTAAAACTCAAAAAGGCTATCACTTTATTTAAGGTTATGCAGCCCAAGGCTGTCTGACTTTAAATCCTTTGATCTTTCCACTTTATCATATGACTCTGAGATAACACAGGAGATCTGAGAAGTCAGCTTTGGGAAACCAGTGTTGTGTGCTCTCCCTTCACCTGTCCTTATATAGAGCTTGTTAAAAGAGGAGGAAGCCAGGCGCTGTGGTAGAACGTGTCTCAGACTGTGCCTCGAAGAGCTGATGCCCTCTGGCCATTCACTAGAGCAGTTTCTTCTGCCTTCATTTCTCTCACTGCTTGATCTCTCCTTTCCTAGGTTCCTATTTGCCTTCCAGCTATTCTTTCTCCCCGTATGGCAGCAAGGTCTCAAGTGGCGAGGATGCTGACAAGGCACGTGCCAGCCCCAGTGTAACCTGTAAAGCCAGCTCAGAGTCCAAAGCCCTGGATATCTTGCAGCAACATGCCAGTCACTACAAGAGCAAGTCTCCGACGGTAAGTGGAAACAGCCCTGGTCCTTGTCCACAGCATGGGAGGAGTGAGCAAGCTCAGGGCCTGACCAAGACGCTGCTCGACTGACTGCTGGCTTCATATGGGCACCCTCTTTATTTGTAGATACCCTGCAGTTTTAGAGTCATGATATAGGACACTGGTTAGATCACTAGTGTGTGCATATATCTCATTATAGTGCCTTGACGTGTCTCCTTTCCTTTCCAGATAAGTGACAAAAATTCTCAGGAGAGAGATCGGGGAGGCTGTGGGGTGGCTGGGGGTGGTGGCAGCTGTGGCAGTGTTGGGGGAGCAGGAGGTGCTGACAGGAATGCCGACCGGCCCCGCACATCCCCTTCCCAGCGCCTGATGTCCACACACCACCACCACCACCTGGGCTACTCCTTGCTCCCAGCACAGTACAACCTACCCTACGCTGCAGGTAAGGCTGTCTTCCAGCTTTGTCTCCGTTTCAGCAGTGTACCTGTAGCAAGGGCCGCCCTCCAACCCCCAGACTTCTAATTTGAGATAACTCCCACCACTCAGGGTTGAAGCAGGAGCATAAAAATAAATTCAAGGCGGGAGGGGAAGAAGACTTAGTAAAGCACTTGCCTTACAAGCAGAGGATCTGAATTCAATCCTTAAAATCCATGTAAAAACACAGATGTGGTGGTGTGTGCTTGTAACCACAGTGGTCAGGTGGGAGGAGAACGGGCAGGTCCCTGGAGCTTGCTGGCCAGCTGGCCTAGCATACTTGGCAAAGCTCCAAGCCAGTGAAAGGCCTTGTCTCAAACAAAAGACAGAAGACGGCACTTTAAGGATGATAATTGTCCTATGACCTCTACACATATGTACAGCACACACACATACAGAGACCCTGTCTTAAACACTCTCCTGAGTCCTAAAGTACCTTTAGGCTGGGACTTATTTCCCCCCTGGAGCTTGGGAGCTCTCATTATTCAGCAGAATAAGAGACCACTAGAGAGAAACAAGCAGCTGAACATTGGTCTGGCCAAGCAAGTGTCAGGGTTGTTTTTCTGTCAGCACCCCAAAAATCCAACAGTGCTAGGTCTGGAAATTTAAGGGGAAGCTCCTCATAGCGAGCGAGCTTGCGAAGGAAGGGTGATTTCCTGAGTGCTGTATTAATATGTTCTCTGCTTGCCCAGGGCTTTCTTCTACAGCCATTGTTGCCAGCCAGCAAGGCTCAACTCCCTCACTTTACCCACCCCCCCGGAGGTGAGAATGGTGAGTAGATTTTGTTAACAAATTGCAGTAACAAATTAACAGGGGTAGCTGCTACTTGGATCACAGAATCCCTGCATGTGAGGGTTAACTAAGCGATGTCAGTGACTGGAAAAGCCTCTTGTGAAGCTGTGTGCATCTGAGGCCTGTGGAGGACCAGCACTGCAGTTCTTTTTTGTGTTTTGTTTTTAAATTTGTTGTGAAGGGTAGTGCTTGTGAACAGGGCTCAAAGAACAGTTTACAGGGAGTTCCCTCCTCGAACTGTGGATGATGGAATTCATCTCATGCTTAGCAGCAAGCACCCTTACTCACCAGACCATCTTGCCAGCCCCAGTTCATTTTCTTAGAGCACCATCTTGTGGTTGTGATACCAGCAGACCACAATTAGCTGTTTACCTATGTGTTTCCTTCGCAGAACACCAAGTGCCCAGATGAAGTCAGCTTCATGGGCCAGACTGGCTCATTCGAGGTGATGCTGGAGGTGCCATTTTACCATCAGTTACGGTGTTGATCATCCTGTTTGCCATTCCTACCGTGACTGAAGGCAGACCCTTGGCTGTCTCACCTCCACTAGACCCTCCGACCCCCTGACCCTCCCTCTTCCTCAGGAGCTGGAAAACTGGTACTTTGCAAAAATACTTATTCTCTCAGCCACAGTTCTGTTGTGGCATCGAAGTAGATGAAGGCATAGGAGCAACTGAGCGAGCGCAGCCTCATCCCAGAGAAATCACTACTCTGTCACCTTAGCCCCGGTCTACTGCCAGAGCAGCACCACACACATCTGGGAGGGACCCCAAGCGTGGGACAAGGTCTGAGGACAGCACAGCAGCCATACCCTCACAGTCATCACCACCATAAACCAGATTCCACATCTCCTCAGTGGTTTGGGCCCTGGGAACTGGCAGCACGTGGAGAAATTAGAATCTCAGGAAAGAAGTAGGGAGCTGTTTCCTCCATAATTGCGAAGACAAGGCCTTCAAGTGTGGAGACATCCCCCGCTGATATGAGCACAGATAAATGCTCAGAGCCTAACCTGTAAAGGGGAGAGTAAGGCACTTACCCACCAGAGTCCTGTGCTCCTGTTAGGCTGAAGACGGGTTCTAGCAACAGCACAGGGCTCCCTGGGCATGCTGGGAGGAGCTGGAGCATAAATGGAGTCTGTGAAATTGAATCCGCTTCCTCACCAAAATTCCTGCTGCTTTTCATCTCCCAACTCCTTGCCCTTTCTCTTTCCTTTTTAACCCCTTGGTGCCTTTCCCAGGGGGGAGTCCCCATACTGACCTCACCTCTTCTGCTGCTTTGCTCCTACCTTGGAGTCTGCCACATCACTTTAAAGCAGCAACTGGAAGGCAGGCTGTTCTTGGAGACATTCAGTTATCTGAGTATCCTTCTCATTTAGGGTCACAAATCTATACATCCCAGTTCCTCTGTCTACAGGTACATGATTTTATACAGTTCACTCTGTAACTCGATATGTGCCAATTTGAAGAGTGTCTTTGTTACATACGTTTTTGTTTTAGGGTCCACTGGCCAAGGAGGTGATTTGCTCCTTAGACCCTAAAACAGCATATCCAAGCTTTGCATGCACAAGTCAGCGTGGACTCTGGATAAGGCTATGAGGTGTCAGGCATTTCTCTGTTCTCCTGAGCTACAAAGTCCTGTTAGTGGAAAGTGATGGAGTCACTTCTACCCAGCATGTGAAATGTTTTTTTAGTTCTCTGCTGTTGCAGGGTATCATCCCTTTGTAACCCTTGCCTCCTGTCTTTGCTCCTTGGACTGCAGGAGAGAGAGAAAGATGCACAGATACCAGCTTAGGCTAATAAAGAGCTTGTAAAAAGCACGTCAAAACTGATAGTTTAAGAGCAGAAAAGTAGGTAGCTCTAACTTCTTTGGGAAAGTGGGGTGGTGGGAGACAGTAAGCACAAAGCTCAAGAGAAGCTAGCTCCCAAGAACTAGTGAACCCTCCCTATATAGAATCAGGCTTCAGTAGTTACCACCTCTCACCTCCAAACCTTTCCTGTTTCCAAGTCCTTGTTTTTGTTCCAGTTGGGTTCTGAGCACTTGGAAAAATCCTTTTGTTTAGACCTGTTTGTAGGACTCCAAACAGCCTCCTTACCACCATCGTTCCCCCTGCCACATGCTGCCACATGCTGCCCCAGTAAGCAGTAGTCTGGGCAGTGACCCCCTTTCATTCACAGAGGTAGATGTTGGGGACGCCATCTTACCTAATTCATTACCCTTACTAAGAAAGCGACTGTCGGCCTAATTATGCTCCCCCACCTCCTTCCAAGACTCCAGTGAGTAGAGCCATGCTCCCATCTGTTCCTGTTTTTTTATATATATCTGTAACACTGGCTTACAGTGTGCTTTGTACATATTGTTTTAAAAAAAATTGGAGCAATTTTGTTTTTCATTGGGTAAGCATGGCCCACATTCCTGCCCTTTCCACTTCATTTTATAACAGAGGTGTGTCCGTATTTGCAAGACAGCCCTAAGATTCTGCAGAAGAAACAGCCTTCTCTCTCTCCTCTCTCCCCTTCCCCTCCCTCCCTTTCTGTCTCTCTCCCCTCTTCCCGAGAAAAAGTCATCTCTTTGTTCCCTCTACCCAAGTGTCCCTTTAAGAACAGGCGCTGCTCTGAAATGAGATTAGCAGTAGAAAAATGACACTATGTTTTCAGCTTGATCCTCCTGGTCCCTAGTCTGAGTCCAGTCTTCCCTCTCTGAAATAGTATTACACAACTGCAGCTGTCCGCACTCCACAGTAGGGAACTACCTGTGACACCTAGTCAGAAAGACAAGATCTGGTGCAGACCACCAAACCAAGCCTTTCACTACACCATCCTGCCCTATGCTCTTGGTGTTAATGATCTCAAGAGACCCATGTGGAAGAGAAGCTATAGGAAGTAGGGGCCTCACCCTGAGGAAGGGCAGCTACCGCTTAACAGCTGCTGCTTAGGATTCGCATCTGCTTCCTCATTTATGGTGTGCCAGCTCCCTTCAGCTCGTGTCCATGTTGTACATGTAGGCTCCACTTAGCCTACACTCTCCAACATCTCCAGGTCAAAGAAACACACGGAAGGGTAAGAGGGTACCCTTCAAAATGATCATGTACCTCCTCTACAGGCTCCAGGGTGGGGTTGGGGGGGGGGGACTTAGTTTAAGGGAGTTAAGACTGCAGAAGGGCCAGAGAGTTGGGTATAGGTTTGAGGCCTCATCACTTACCCCATATACCCTATCTGTGTACTCTGATGCCCCCCAAGATTCAGCTGGGCAGCTAGCTGGCCCATAATTCTGGGCCTTTGTCACTTATTACTAGGACATCCCAGGAAACTTTCCAGTGATTCCCTGCCATGGGCCCCTCCCAGGCCTTGTCCCCAGCCCCTCCTGCCCCAGCCCACCCGCTTGCCTTGGTGCTCAGCCCTCCCATTGGGAGCAGGTTGGGGCAAGCTGGAGGCCCGGGCTGGAGGGACAGTGTTGCCGTTCATAGCTTTTGTTCCATTGATGTTGCTCTGTTGAATTTAATTTCAGTCTTCCTGATTCTTCCCTTCTGTAAAGTGTACATTACCAAGTTCCTTGTTTTTTTATATACATATATATATATAAATATATATATATATATATATACAAACTGTACTCTTTTTGCCTTTGTACATTCAGGCAAGAAGAGAAAATAAATCTTTTTAAGAGACAATCACAAATCTGTGAGGGCTGCTGGTTATTTCTCCTGGAGTTTGCTGCTGAGCTGCTGCCTCCTCCCTCAGCTCCCTGTCTTTTCTCTCGCCCTGCTCCATATGCACCCTCTGCTTTACCTTTCCTGGCTGACAGTGAGCTGCTGAACCCAGTATGCCGACTGCCTGCCCTGTAGCTTCTTCCTGCCCGGCATTGTTTTCCAGCTTGGCCACTGGCTGATCCTGTATCCTTCCTGACCTCTTTTTTTTTTTTTAACCCTTAGCTCTCATTCACCAAAGTGGCTTTGGACCCCTGGGTGCTCTGGGACCTGCCTCCCAGAGGCCCTTGGCTTTGGACATTCATTCATCTATGAAACTATGCACCTGGGAGCTCTCTGCCTGAGATTTTGCACTACTTAAACCTGCCTGGGTGTTAGAATGAAAGGTTTTTAGGAACAAGTGGGAAATTACCCACCACCCACCCACCCAGCACTCCACCCCACACTACCCCTACCCATCCTAGCCTCAGAAGTCTGATGGTTCCAGGACTATGCCTGGACTCCCATGGTTACCCTATGCTATCAAGGGCTAAGGATCTATTGGTAAGAGCTTTTGAGATTCAAATAGTGATACTGTCTGAAACAGCAGCCCAGCCAAACCATGTTCATACTTGTCTTCTTTCCTTACCTTCTCTTCCCCCTTCCCCCTTTGTTTCTACTTCCTTTTCTTAATTGGCTTTGGAATTGAAGTATATTTTTAAATTATTTGTTGTATTTATTGAATAAAGTTTTTAATGTCCCTGTTCTTACATTTAGACTAAAGTTTGCCTTTCACGTACCTCTCCTATCCCTCTCTTTACCACCCCCAAAATTTCTACCTTCTAAGTTGTTTTGTTTTTTTTTTAAATGAACTGCTGCTGCCTCCTTACCATAATTATGTGTCAGTGGTGGTCTTCAGTAGCCCCTCCCTCCCTCCCTCTTTCTGACAGGGAACTCTTTGGGTAGGTATATGGTTTCCAAGTCTTTTCACTGGCTGTCAACAGGAAGTGTTAGCATACAGCAGCAGAAGAAAGAGTGTTTCCCTCTGCTCTGTGAGCTTTGGCTGAAAGTAAAGGGCTGTTACCTCTATTTATTTGTGAATGGGTATCTCAGGTTTTACATTTGACTCTTGACCTTTAGGCTGCCTCTAGGAGTCATCTGTTTGATAGAAGGTATTTTCAAGCGAATCAGTTTGAAGGAATACCATGTGCAGGTAGAACCTAAGTTTAGTGACTTGGCTAAATACAATACAGGTAAGCTTCATGAAAAACAAGCTTAAAACTGGGCAAAGCCTGTAAAGAAACTATGGGCTGACTATAAGGCAGTTGCCAAGCCATAGGTAAAACAACACTGCCTTGAGGGGAAGGGGTGTCTATGAGAAATCTGACAAGTGAGACAGTGTGAGTGCTTAGCTCCCTCTCCAGGACCACCGAGATGATTCTTCATGCTGATGGTACAAAGCAACCAGAAGACATGCCATAGAGCACTGGGCTCCAAGAAGACAAAACTAAAATGGAACAGAACCTAAGGCTTAGAGCCTTAGAGCCAGGCATGATGGCAATTGCAGAAGCTAAGGCAGGAAGACTGCCACAAGTTTAGGCCAGAGCTATAGTAACCTTCCGTCAAAAAGGGAAAAAAAAAAAAAAGACTTCAGGGATAAAGTTAGGCATAAACTTTACCATAAAAAGTGAAGTTTTAAGCCCCAGCCCTGTACAGTTTAACAACTGGAATTGTGAGTTAGTCAACAGCACACAGGAAAGTGTTCCGTATGCACCTCTCTCTCCATGGGCACTCAGTGTGTCCCACTCCTAGCAGCCCTGAATTTCACAGTATAACATGGCCCCAGAGACCAAGCAGCCTTGTCCCTGGGAAGTATGTATCACACTTGTATTAAGCTCTGGTTGTGGTACAGGAATAAAGAATAGGCCAACTACAACTTTAAATCAGTTTATTGACACAGTAACACAACACACTTGCCTCCCTGACACCCCCACACCCAATGTAGATCTCTCTCCCTTTTCTCTTTAGAACAAGCTGTTTGGTGAAAGCAGTAAAAAGCAGGCCATTTCTGCAGTCCAGCCCTGCCCCTTGGCCCTGCAGTGTAGGCACTGTTCTGAACCTGTTAAAAGGAGGCAGTCAGTACTGTGCTTGGCCAGCCAGAGGCATCCAGTCACTAAGAACAGGTTCCCCACAAACCCCAGGCCCTGAGTTTGGTATTCTTCCTCTCTGCTCTTGCTAGGAAAGAGATCTTGGGGCCTAGGCCACAGAGGCAAGAACTCTAGTGGTAACTTGAGATGTAGTTTGGCTAGTTTCTTAAAGCCCAGGCACCCCTCAAAAAAGCCCTGGTGTGGGGGAGTGAGTTTCAATGCCCCTATTTAAAATGTACTGGTAACATTAAACAGATTAAGCCAGCTTAACCAAATGCCAGAATAACACTAAACTGTAAAGAAAGCGAGGTCAGACCTGCTTACACCAGGCCAGACACAAAATGCCTGGAAGCTCAAGGTGGAGTGTCAAAAACAACCCAAGGACACTACCCAGGAGCTAAAAAGCCTATACTCAAGAGCCCCTGGATGACAAGAAGCAAAGAAAGAAAATACCTAAGTCTTAAAAACCAAAAGAAGAAAGCCCAACTCCAAGGAGACCTGAGCCTGATGGTCCTGCCCTCCAGCCTCGTCCTGGACCAGGCAGTCCCTCCCCCTCCAGGCAGTGCCCTCCCCTAGGGCAGATGGAGCACATCACAGCGCAGTTTAAAAAGCTTCTAATGCCAGTTCATAAACATCTTCATTTACTATTGGTGATTACATGTGAATAATATGCGTATACTGTTCTTTATGGAAAACAATTTCAACGAGTCAACTCCGAGAACACAATGGGCAACCCTCAACCTGAGCCCCTCAATGTCCTTCCCTAGACAGCCAGAAACCCTCTCCTCTGTCCCAAGGCTGCCTAACTTCCCCTCTTCCCCCACTGTGGCTCTTGGGCAAAGCATCCTCTGTGACCATTAGTCCTCATCAGACAAGTTCTGGTCCAGAGGGTAAACCATAAACATCACATCTGGCCGAGAGGGGACACAGGGATGACCTGGACGCACAATCTCAAAGCCCAAGAAGCTGAACGTCTTCAGGAGTGGAGCTGCAGAAAAGGAAGCATAGAAGGGACTCTGATGAGGCTCAATCCAGGGAAAACTCCAAAGAGCAATCAAATACTAGGTCCTCAGGCACTTCCCCTTAGCCACGACTCTCCAGCTTGGTAAGGCAAGTGTACACAGTGTACAGCCCTCTGCATAGGTGTCAGAGCATTCTGACTGCTCACCTCTGTCTTCCCGGCCCTTCCTGAAGCAGATGAAGACGTAGTTCACTTTCATCTTCTCCTCAGCAAACTCTAGCAGTGCTAATAATCTGCAGAAACAGCACTGCTCAGGTCCACTACCACCTCCTCAGACCTCCTCCCCACACCACCCTTAAAAGGACCTTCTGAGCCTAAAGCCAACAAAATTAATATAGAATCTCCAAAGAAAGTTTTCCATTTGAAGACCCCAACCTAGAGCCCTACATGAAGAGAAAAATAAGTCACAGACCCTGGAAGGAGGGGGAGGGTTCTCTCTTCCTATAACTTGAGTTCTTCATCTGTTAGTAATATTGTCTTAAAAGTAATGCAAATCACAAGACAGTGTAGGGCCTTCAATAGAGCCCAGTTAATTGTCATTACACTGACAGGAATACTCTGAGCTCAGTTTCCTCAATAAACTGAGGCCAGGTTTGGTGGCTCACACCTTTAATCTCAGCACTCTGGAGACAGAGGCAGTGGATCCATGTGAATTCAAGGCTAGTCTTCTGGTCTACATAGTTCCAAAACAATCAGAGTGATACAGTGAGAGCCCATCTCAAAAGAAAAACGGGTCAGTCAAGAGAATGTCCTGGGACTGCTTTTGACACAGGTTACTTCATGAACAGTGCCCAATCCAATAAAATTCCACCATTCTACCTGTATTCCCTGGTCTTTGGAATTTTACCTTTGTATAGAGGCTCAAGAGGAACTTCACATCTTCTGGGAATCTGATAAACTGGTGGGTGACTATACCCCTGAGCAGGCCTGATTCATTTACTAGCTAAAAACAACTTATAACAAAACATCATCTACTAGATCTAAGGGAGAAAGTATAGACCCCCTATAAAGTTGCTATCCCCAACTGACATTCTCTTCATTGGTTCCTTACCCTTCTTTGCTCCCATCAGCTAATAATCCATCTGGGATTTCTACAAACAGGCTCTGGCTGGACAGGACTGCATCCCAGGAAGAGACCTTCACCTCGGTGACCTCATACTGGAAGTGGACGATGTGAGGTTTTCCATCGTTCACGGGGAGGTCCTGGGTTACAGTGAGCTTCTCGTCCTAGGAGGGAAAGTTAGGGCAGAGGACAAGATCTCTACTACCGGCCACACCCTATGCTCCCTGAGCCAAGGGTGCTGCATCCCTTGGGCCATTCTCAGGGTAGCCTGGATCAGGGTCACTTCAGAAATACAGACCTATAGGTCAGCTACCGACAGCCATTTCTAAGAACAGCTGCTGTTGATAAAAGCCAGAATGAGATGGGAAATCAACTGGATGCTGAGTACTATGCAAGTAATATTCATGGACTAATATCACCACCTTAAATATGAGCTAGCAAGGCAAAAGCAATTTAGCAATTGGCCCAAGGTTCCTACATTAATAAGTGCAAAGTTAAAATTAAAACCTAAGTACTCCTAGCCCGACAGTTTGTCAGGGCTGTACCTTCTCTAAGAGAAAAATAATAAAAACATGAAGTTCTAGCATTGCTACACTGGAGACTGGAGCAGGAGGATTATGAGTTAGAGGCCAGCCTGGACTACGTAAGACCTTTTGTTATTTTATTTTTGAGACAGTATCCCACTATATAGCCCTGGCTGGCCTGGAACTCCTAGAGATCCACCTACCATTGCTCCAAAGTGTTGGAACTAAAGGCATAAGCTACTGTGTGTGGCCTAAGACCTTGCCTTTAAGTAAAAGATAGCTAGGCATGGAATATACACCTGTGATCCCAGCACTCAAGTCCTTATGCACAGAATTCTGATGCCTTGCTAACTTTCCATTCCCAACCTAGGGAAGAAGCTGAAATGTGTCCTGGGCCTCAATCACCAGAGGATTAAAGTCAACAAACAGCACTGATAATTCTCCCTCTAGGATTCCCATTCTCCCTCAGCCAGCCTGCTACTTCTGCCTAAGAGAAGACTAGGAAAAAATTAACATTTGAACAGCTGCTCGTTGGGATCTAAGAGACTCCACCCAAGCGTCTACACCAAACCCCTCCTTACCTTATATATTAGAGCTGAGAGAGAAGGATCCCTGCCGCCCCCTCGCCCACCGGGGATCTTCGACAGTGGGTGAGGGGCATCAGGAGCACCACAGAGGCCCTGGAACAATGTGCCTGCAGCACTGGAGCTGGGGACAGTTACTCAAAGGCAAAATACTACTGCAAGAGACAGAAAGACAGTAAACACCAAGACATTTAGCCCATACCCCTCCAGCCCTCGCCCCTTCTGCCTACACAAGTATTCTAAGGCTTCTCCACTTCTCAGGTTCTTTCTTCTTCAACATCTACAAATGCTACTTTAATCAAAAGGCATATAGTCCCAGAAGTCCAAAGAAGTCCTGCTGGATGTATCTGACCAGAGGATCACCTATCAGACATCAGTAAGCTGTTGACATGGGGTTTACCCAGCTTGGCTGCTAAGTCTCCAGCATCTTGTC